ACTGTATCTGACCTGTTACCTGCTGTGGAGTTTCTTTTGTTGGGACAGAGAAAGTGCCCAAAGTGTTAATATTCTGTGCCTGAGCAATCTAAACTCCGCAGCCTGTGCCAATGCAAATTGAGCAACTTTGCATAATTTATTCTGCCTTCGTTGTGGTTCCACCAGGCATTGCCCCCACCATCTTTGGAAGCATATCTTCAGAATCACAAGGAGTAGAAACTCGGTGTATTAATGAAAAGGGAGGCGGGGAGAATAAGCTGTTCAAGAAGATGAACTCTGTACTCTGTAAAATATTCTGTGTTCTCCAAATTGTAATGCACACATAGCCTTGCTCTTCTTAGCATGCTTGTTTTTGTTTGGGCAGGAATTGCTTGCGGTACTTCTTGCCCCCAAATTTCCCCATCTCCAAGAATGACCTGAGTGCCATGAATTTGGAAGAGCTGGCAGCTTTCCCTCTGGTAAGTCCTGTGCTTACAAGTGGAGGCAAGACCTGAGCTGGTGGCTGCTCTTGCTACATTCTTAGCTTCTGCACCAGTTGTTCCCTGTTTTGGGGGGGGGCACAGCCCACTTGGTTCCATGAACTCATCTCCAGTGCCCAAATACCCAACCCTATAAAAAAGCATTATTCAGAATAGCAGTTTGCACGACCCACTGAGGAAGATAGTCAAAATAAAATCCAGCAAAGAATAGTTACACATTCTTGCTCTTGAAAACATAACGTTGAAGGAAATTTATAACATAAAATATCCATACATAACTCAGTTTACCAGACATGCACAAACCTTCACCTACCACAGATGCACAGTAACTAATTTATATGAAAACCAATAGCTGTCTTCTGACTTGTGACAATACAGAATTGTAAATATAAACGTGACCAAAGGAAATAGCTTTGAAAGTGATGAGCAATAAAACTTTAAATATGAAGCAAGGAAGGTGTTTGCCCTAGGCTCTAGCCTGCTCAATTGCAAACAAGCATTCAGTGCACTTAGGGGGAGCACCTCCAGCACCCCCATGCCTCCCCGTTGTCTCATTAGCGACACCTAGGTAAACGTCTCCAAGGGGTGGTACCACCCACTTTGAGAACCACTCCTCTATACTTTGCTAGCTGCCAGTTTTTAGAGGGGCAGATTGCTACCCTTTTAACTCAGTGAGACGTTTTCTGGAGCCAGTGGTTATGATATCACCATCCATAATTGTAACCTTTTATAGTGTATATAAAGTGCCTAAATTAGGAGCCGAATCCTCAGATTATAATTTGAATGTGCCACAAAGGGGAGAGAAAAGGGTTGCCTGACAGCTTTTGTGCAAGCGTTTAAGATAAAAGAGACCCTTTTGGGATGTGAACAGCTCTTGTCTTTTTCCAAACACTTTTTAGCCAGCAGAGGGCAGCAGACTGCAGGGGTGGAAGGCAGCTCTTACTTAATAGCAAATGCAGAGGCTTCCACTGTCAAATTGACAGTTTAACTCAAATTAAATTTTTTTGCCTTCTGGCAAACATGGATATTATTTAAGAGAAAGAAGGAAAGACAGACACAATTTCGCAGCAAAAGATTGCAGTGTATCTACATCCTCAGACAAGAGCCTTGTGGCACTCTGCCACAAGTGAGGGTGAGGGAAAGAAACAGACACTTTGGCTACATCCACACTGTTACAGACCTACATTTCCCAGAGTTCTCTGGGAAGAGAGAGGGATTGTTAAGGCTATCTAGGAATTGTACCTCTCTGAGGGGAACAGGGATCTCTTCACAACTCTCAGCACCCTTTAACAAACTACAGTTCCCAGGATGCTTTGAGGGGAAGCCGTGACACTTTAAAGTGCTATGATACTGCTTTAAATGTATGGTGTGAGTGTGGCCTCCCACTGCATAAGGACATATTGCAACAATACATGTGGCTTTTCTTGAAGCTCCTAGAACCGACTCTCTTGTGTCTTGCCTCCCTGCAGAAAGAATATTTCAAGCAGTACGAGAAGGGGCTGAAAAATTTATGCAACTCCTACCAGACTCAGGCTAATGCCCAGGCCAAAGCCTCTGAGGAGAAGCTTCACATCCAAGAACAGAAGCTCATGGAGACAAAAGAGAAACTCCAGAAGCTAAGGACCAACATAGTATCACTGCTCAAAAAAGTCCAAGAGGTGAGTGAGGCCCCAGCCAGAATTGCAAAAAACTGGGAATGTTTTTTCATTATGACTTTTTTATTTAAATGTAAATTATCCAAGAAGTTTGGTTGCATCTACTCTGCTGTACAGAACACATATTTATATTGCTATTCTACATATTTTCTTGTTATTTCCCCTTTCCTTCTGGCTACAAGGAAATGTATGAGTATGGAAACAAATTTCTTAATCACAAAAATACAACAGACAGAATCTTGCAGATTCTGCAGAATCTCAAAAATCTGAGCATGTTTTTAACCTGGTGTCCTCCAGATGTTTTCAGCTACGACTCACATCAGCCCCAGCTAGCAAGTAGTCACCCTACTGTATCAAGTGCTTTCTCATAGGCATTGAACTATTATTTCCCTTTGCTGGTTTCAGGACATTGATTTCAGTACAGATGATGAACTGGATGCATACATCGAGGACCTGATCACGAGGGGAGACTGACCAGCCAATTGGATTCCAACACCCATGTGAAGTCGGTTCCCTGGAAAATCCCAGAGTGATGTGTAGAGAAGTGTGGCTGAGGACATTAGACGCTGTATTGTATTAGTGTGCATTGGAGTACAACTTGTTCTTAAGCCCTTTTTTTTTACATATGTAACAGAAGTGCTGTTGAAGGTTATTAGCCTTTTGTTTATAAATATTTTGGAAAAAACAACAACCTGTAATAGTAGTAGTAATAATAATAATAATAGCACAAAACCCAATGCATTGCTTGGTGCAAAGGATTGATCTGTGGCCTCTGTTAAGCTTAAGATATGTGGTGGGTTGTGCCTGTTATGAAGAAGTACAGTGGAGCTTACAAAACGTGCTGCTGGCACAAGGGCAACCCTGCCACTTTGTCACTTGTGGGTGTCTCTTTACAGGAAGAAGCCACAAACTACAAGCCTCACAGCCAGAAAGCGTTCCTTGTGCAGTAGTGGGAGAGCAAACCTCTGCTGACAGAGGGTGTGTAGCTCAACCCAAAAAAGGGCTTGGGGCTGAGCGTCAGTAGGTCTTTAAACTTGTGCTGATACCATGGAGACGTTGATCAGCGTTAAACCTTAGGTACCGTGTCATACCATCTTCAGCATGGCAGCAATAAGCTTGAAGAAGCAGATTCTCTCTTTTAGGATGCCTTGGGGAGAGGGGTTCAGGGAGCCTTTAACACTCTTCTGTGTATTACAGGGAGAAAGAGCTCCTGCCACCTTAGTTCTGTGATCATAAAGAGGGGCCACAGCTCAGCAGTAGAGTTCGTGCATATGGTCCTGGTATCTTCAGTTAAAGGTGAGATGTCTGGGAGTAACCCAGGGTTTAAGTCCTTGGGGAAACTGCTGCTCCTGCATCAGGTGGCATCTTTCTGGCCAAGCTTGGCTAACGCTTGCTTGCAAATCGGCTGCTTCCACATTGTTGAGTCTGAGACCCAAGCTCTTTGCTAGATTACCAGTTCTCTGAGGTACTACTCTGTCCTTTTAAAGAATGTAACCAGTTCTGTCCTTTATAAGAAGAGGTAAGACCAAAAGCATTAGCTAGAGCACAGTTGCATTAATAAGGCTGGCGTTTACAGCATCACTTCAAGACAGATTTTATGGGGTTGCTGAACGATCACACAGGTCAGTGTGTTATTCTCACAGTGAAATGGGTCTCTCAGAAAGGGTTGCAGGAATGATGTCTTCCAGCACTTGGCAATTTCCAATAGTTTGGGGTGGTAGTGTATTTTAAGAAGCTACTGTTCCAACCCATTAAAAAAAAACCAACTCTGGACAAGGAGGCCTTTTGCAGTCTAAACACAGCTGACTGTGCAGTCTCAATAACAGCAGAGCTCAATAGAATTTAGGGAAAATTTGGGACTCAAAATATACTCTCCCCTTTTTGCTGCCATTTCTCTTTCTTGAAAAATAAATAATAAACTTCAACATCAAGCCAAAAAACAGGAAAAGAGGCTCTGTCTCCGAGGACTCCCCAGCAAGTGTACTACCGTGGCAAACTGAGCTGACCCTTGCAGCTGCTGCAAGCATCTAAAAAACGTTAGGAAAAAATAATCTCTTCCTCAGTTTTGATTAAGACAGTGACAACACTTTGCAGCCGTTCCCAGAGGGACCATCCCCGAGAAGGGAAGTGGGCCCTCCCCCCCCACCCCTTTTTCTATAGAATTGTGCAGAGAGACTTCAACCTCCAGACGGATGCTTCCTGCAGAGCGGCCTATTCAATCATGCTGTTAAGGTGGACGAAAACAAGACCCTCACCTGTGCCCCATACTAAATAAGGAAAATGTTTGAAGTGACTGAGAGTTGGCTTGCCTTGAAGCAGGTGGGCTCGGGGGAGTGGAGAGGAAATAAACAGCTTGTGTGTGCAAAGTGATAGGGAGACATGAAATCATGCAGTGCTACATCTGTCTTTCCAGAAAAATAAACAGCAACTCCTGCTTTGTTTTTTTCCAAGGAGGAATGGGGACCTCCCATAGGTTCACATCAGCAGAGAATTACTTGTTATTCATTAGTTTATATACTGCTTAAATGCCAGATGGCTTCTGAGCAGTTTTTGTCAAAGAATCAGCATTGGAAGGGACCCTGAAGTTCATTTACTCCAACCTCCTGCAATACGGTGGTACCTTGGTAGTCAGAATGGCTTGGCTCCTGAACAAATCGGCTCCCGAATGCCGCAAACCCAGAAGTGAGTGTTCCAGTTTGCGAATGTTTTTTGGAAGCTGAATGTCCGACGGCACTTCTGATTGAGTGCAGGAAGCTCCTGCAGCCAATTGGAAGCTGTGCCTTGGTTTTTGAACTGTTTCGGGAGTCAAACGGACTCTATGCATTAAATTTTAGAACCAAGGTACCACTGTACAGGAATGCACAGCTGTCCCTTACAGGGATCGAACCTTCAACCTTGGTGTTATCAGAGTCACGCTCTAGCCAACTGAGCTATCTATAAAATCAATACTGAGATCCATGCACATTTGAAATACCCAATAACCATTTCATCAAAGCATTAAAACATCCTTAATTTTAAAAGCATTACAATTAAGTAACATCAGAAGTGCAAGGGCGGGCTTCCCTAAACAGATGCATCTTCAGGAGCCAGTGACATGCAAATATGGATGGAGGTGGTGTATTTCAGCAGGGAGGGCATTCCAACCACACTACAGCCACCAATGAAGACCCAGTTTTTTGTTACCGCAGACTGATAATGTCAGGCTGTGGTAGAACTAACTGGGTTCTGTCTGGTGGTCATAGTGCCCTTGTGGACTAGTTCCACAGATTGATTTTTTTTTTAGTGCAAACAAGTTCTAATGGTATGTCAGGGCCTAGTTACAACTTCAGCATCGTGAGGTGGTGACACTTAGCCAGAATTTGGGTACATATTTTATATTTTAATTCACTGGGTCACGGGCATGATTATGATCTGTCATTTTGTTTATATGTTCTGCCTCGCCTCCTTTCATGGACCTCAAAAGCGATGCAGAGAGGTTTGCTGGCCCATTCCACCCTGGGCACTCATCAGAGGCTTCAGCAAGTGAGGAATGTCTTGTACTATTTTCCACCTGGGCCCTCAAATATTGCAAAGAGCTGGTAAAGGAACAGACTGGAGACTTGTTTCCTATCTAATACATACCAGACAAGAGGAATGACACACGCTGGAGGAGAAAGGCAGGCTTTAGACAGGTGTTCTTTACAATATGACCTGCTGCAATGCCTGCAGTGGGAGTCTCCCAGTTGGTCCCACGCAGACTGGGGTGCACAGCCCTTATGTCCCTTCGCACCCCTATTGCAGCAGCCAGGTGGGGAAAGCCATTGATGGAGTCAAAGGGGGGTGAAGGAAATAGAAGTGCTTACTTTGCAAAATTCATATCCCATCCTTCAGCCCTTAAAATGCCCTCATGCAGATTCAGCAGATTCATGCCTGCTCTGTAAGTCCTTCCTTCTGTAAGGAACAGTGTTTTCCTATCACTTGCACGGTGCTTTTATTATTTATTATTTTATTTTCCCAGGAACAGCAAAAGTACAGCAGTTACATTCGCAGCATGTTAAAGATCACGGATCAGAGCAAACCAGAAGATAAGGATGAGAATAAGGATTTGCAAAACAAGGCTTTAGTGCAGGTGTGGGGAACCTTTGGCCTCCCATCTGCCCCAGAAAGCATGGCCAATCAGCAGCCTCGGGACTGGACAGCCAAGCATTGCCCACACCTGCTTTAGTTGCTCATGAGAAAGGGGTGATATGGGCTACGTCTTGGGAAGATTTAACCAGTGGGAACTTAGATCACAGGTACAATAAAGCATGGCAAACTGCTTTCACTGAAAGAAGAAGACCCTGCTGGATCAGGCCAGTGGCTCTTCTAGTCCAGCATCCTGTTCTCGCAGTGGCCACCCAGACGTCCGCAGGAAACCTGCAAGCAGAACTTAACGCCCAAGGGCAGGGAGGAAAACATGGGACCCAATTACAGCCGCGTGCTCCAGTTTTATTATTTGCACAGATGGGAGTATGAGCAACTGAGGAGCCATGCAATTAGCTGAGATTGTAGGTAGCTGCATCTGCCTATAAAGACCATCCTAACTGCCGTCGCTGCAAGCTGAAAGACAAATGCACAATCACTAGTTGATTGATTCCCTTTTGTAGGCTTTCCCAGCTGGGCCTTGCTGCTAAGACACACATGCACACACTCACTCTCTCCTACCATCATCACTGTACCCTATTTTACAGAGGCTGCTCTGTCCTGGCAAGGAGGTGCAGCTGCTAAGAACAGCCCTTGAACTGATGAAATAGCCCCCCCCCCACCTCCTATTGATAAGACGGGCAAATAAAGCCATTTATTGTCCGCAAATGGCAGAGTCCCCCAGAACCTGAGCTCAGCAGCAGCCTCTTCTGAAGGTAATTCTCCCCACCAACCACCCTGCTTTCTGCTCCAAGCTGCCCCATCACCACAGCAACCTCGGGTGAAGCTGGCGGTATCTTTGCCTCCTGCCACACATCTGGGCCGGCCGTGTCATTGAGGTTCCTTGCGGAGATAAGCAAAGATTTCTTCCTTTTTCCTACCAACCCCTCCTCCCCTCTCTGCAGCTGTCTGGGACCCTGGGCTTTTCCTCCACCGGCAAGAAAGCCTCAGCTGCTGATGTTTTCACCCATGCCAGGAGGGGAGGGAGCTGCGCAGCCCCCCCTTACCCAAACCAGATTTCCTACTTCATTTTGGACACTGGCGCCTTGTTGCACCCCTTTTAAATTCTGGCGTTCCACCTCAGCTCCCTTGGGAAGATGCAGCTCAGACAAGAGAGGCATGCAGGTGTTTCACAGGGCAGGGTTCCCAGGGAGGCAGCGTCCGCGGCCTGTTCAGTGCTCTCTTCTTGACATACAAGGGAATGCCTGAATGTCTCAATAAACAACATTTGTTTTCTATCACGTAGGTATGAATGAATTTTAAAAAGTTTACCAACAACAACAAAAAAAAGGTCTGTGGTGGCCAGTGGAATGTACAGCGATAACCAAGCGATCTTAATGGGGCTTTGCAACATCATTAGTTGTGCAGTATAGTTAGTTCCATAATGTGTTAATTCTCAGTGTGATGTCGGGACGGTGAGACGAACAGTGGCGTTTTTGGAGGAAGATGAATGTGGCAGAAAGGGAAAGGTGCTGCGTGCGACAGGTACAGGGCAGAATGGGATACAATGCCAGCACCACCCATGATTTGGCTGCACGCAGGCAGGCAGGTGGGAACGACTTGTGGGGCAGCATCCCATTCACCACAATGGACCGGTCTCCACTGCTGAATTGACCCCTCCAACACACAAAATCCATTCACTTAACTTGGAAAAGTTGCATGCCGGAGAGAAAGGTGTCTTCCCTAACATGTCAGCTTTGGTCTGAAAGAGCACAACCCAAACAGGTTTTCCTATGGGCAGAGGACAAGTTGCCCCCCCCCCCCCCGCCCAGCCTTGTGTCCACCACAATCTCTTACACCCCGACGAGTCTCCAAAGCTCCTTTGTGGGTTTGGAGGGAGCTGGCTGTCCCACCAGTTTCAACACTCCCCTTCTCAGCCTGCTTCTAACCAGGCCTTAGCATCCTCCACCCCCTTGTTACCCTGCTGCAATTCCCCTCATTTAGAACCCATTTGCTCCCTTTGGCAGGAGTGAAAGTGTTGACACCAAACTTCCCCTTCTTCCTGCAAGCTAGCAAATGCGCACTTTGTTCCTTGATCAAGAGCATCTGGAGCTGACTGGTGCATCTAACCCAGTGCTGTCTTCTCTGACTGGCAGCTGCTCTGCAAAGTATTGGGCAGGGGTATATTTTCCTGATCTCCAAAAGAAAGGGCAAAGCTCAGTGGTGGAGCATTAGGCAGATGGCCATAGGTGCAACCCCTGAGGGCATCTCCAGGTAGGGCTGAGGTGGGAGGGGAAGACTCCTGCCTGAAACCCAGAGATCTGCTGCCAGTCAGTGTTGACAATATTGAGGTAGATGGACCAATCACTTGATTTGTTACAGAAGGTTTCCTTTGTAACAACTTCAAGGGGGCTAGCCTGCTATAGCAAAATCATAAAAGAATCTTCTAACACCTCTAAGCGGACGTCCCAATAGGCTGTAGCTTCACATACACACATGCAGTGCTTTTTTCTGGGGGGATGAAGGGGTACGCATACTCCTAAACATTTTGTGAATCTTTGTACTTTTGTCCATTTACTGTAATTATTTTCACCAATTTGAACTAAAATGGTGATTTTCTTGAGTCAAAATGAGAGTACCCCTAAACACTTTTTTTTAGAAAAAAGCACTGCACACATGTACAATGGTACCTCGGGTTACATACGCTTCAGGTTACAGACTCTGCTAACCAAGAAATAGTACCTCGGGTTAAGAACGTTGCTTCAGGATGAGAACAGAAATCCAGTGGCAGCAGCAAGAGGCCCCATTAGCTAAAGTGGTGTCTCAGGTTAAGAACAGTTTCAGGTTAAGAATGGACCTCCAGAACAATTAAGTACGTAACCAGAAGTAACACTGTAGTTGCTTTGAAACAACGCCAGATTTTGCCTACCTGGTGCCCTCATGATACAACTCCCATCAGCCCCAGCCATGGCAGCTATACAATGCTGGGGCTGATGGAAGTTACAGTCTCTAAAACATCTGGAGGGCACCAGGTTGGCAAAGGTTGCTGTCTCTCATGTTTGCACTCTTAAAATACATAAAAGGTAAGGATCCCTGGACAGTTCAGTCAAAGGCGACTATGGGGTTTGCAGCGCTCATCTCGCTTTCAGGTCAAGGGAGCTGGCATTTGTCCACAGCCAGCTTTCTGGGTTATGTGGCCAGCATGACTAAACTGCTTCTGGTGCAATGGGACACTGATGGAAACCAGAGCGCATGGAAACACTATTTACCTTCCCGCTGGAGTGGTACCTATTTATCTACTTGCACTGGCGTGCTTTCAAACTGCTAAGTTGGCAGGAGCTGGGACAGAGCAACAGGAGCTTACCCCCTTTGCAGGGATTTGAACCACTGACCTGATTGGCAAGCTCAAGAGGCTCAGTGGTTTAGACCACAGCACCACCTGTGTCCCTGTTAAAATACAGTACTGCCTATGCAAAAGCAATACAAATAAAGACAAATTGTGACCAGTTAGAGCTGAGACATGAGGGCTGTTTTAGGGGGAAGTGGGAGGGGACCTGACAAATGGGCAGTGGTGGGTGTGGGAGGGATTCTCTGATCTTAGGTAGCAAAGGTGTTAATAGGCACTGGAGGGGTGCTTGGGAGTGAGAATCTAAGATCAGTGACTTGAATTATCCTCCCCTATGCCTCCTCAATGAGTAAAGAAAACAGAGGGCAGGGAGGGCAAACAGATAAGGCACAGGAGGAAGGAAAAGCTTGTCTTCATCCCCTGCCCATCTCCCCACAGGAGTGCAGGGAGGAAGGATTTGGAGGTGATATTTTTTTACAGAAAGACAT